GGGAGGGCTCTCCCTCCGGCAGGTTACTTGGGGACCCGCCGGAGCTCGCTCATGAGCCAGAGTGCCATGCTGAGCAGCGCCAGGGAGCCTGACTGGTGCGTGGCGGCCAGAGGCGTGGGGACATAGAGCAGCAGGGTGCTGATGCCCAGGCCCACCTGCCAAGAAGGGAGAAGGGGTAAGAGCAGCTGTGGATGCAGCACTGATACACACCCCCCGCACAGAGTATAATGCAGAAAGGCCCACGGCCACAGCCAGAATTCCCACCCTCAAGTTCAGGCTGTGCGCACAGTATGGCGAGGCCCTGGGTCTAGGCAGCTCCACCCCTCGGCTCCAGGCTCTCGGGGCCAGCACGGACCCAAGCTGGGGACAGCTCTGTCTTGTGAACGTGCTACAAAGGACTAGAGGGAGGGGGGGAGGGGGAAGAAGAAAAAAAGACAGTACCTGCATGCAAGCCACAGCCAATAAGGAAGTCACTGCCATCCTGGTCCTGCGAGGGAGTGGGATCTTCCGCGAGAAGAGGTACAGTGCTGTGACAGCTGCAGCGGAGGCGATTCCCTACAGAAGGGAAGAGAAACAACCACCCTTCAAGAAACGTTCAAATGAAATGGGTGCGGTGGCCTTTGGCTGTGCCTTCCAAGCAGTAGAAGAAATTCTGCGAGCGATATTTAACTGTAGAAACGTGTTAATGGCCATGACCAAATCCCGGAGCTCCCATGCCCACCGGGTTAACAACCCTGAAGTTTGAATTACGGTTAGAGAGAGTTCCATTTTTCTCCAAATTAATGCTTTACTTTCCAATAGCTTTTCCTCATTTCTTCAAGTCACTAGGGATTATTTCTGCCCTCTCCCCATTTGTCACCTTGACAACTAAAGGTGGAAGCTGTCATCTGGAAAACTGATCTCATTTTCACCACTCAGCTGTACTTCACCAGCATAACCTTGCTGTGCAGGTCACCCCAGGTGACTCCTCTTCTACGTCACTTAATCTTTCTTTTCAGTCTTAGTGATGGCTTAGTCCACAGCAGTGCCGGCAGCGGTATTTAATATCTGGATTGCTCTAACTAGCTATTTTCACAGGGTGTGAAGCAAGTTCAGAAATGCCAAGGAAGCATTCAGTATCGGGACTTCCAAGTTTTATTTCACACAGCTTTCCCAGACATTTCAGCAGCGAGGGCTACCCTGGTCTGTAGCTCATGTTATGGAAAAGGAGACACAAAGAAACAAAGCCTGTCACTTGCGCAGGAGGAAGACGTCCTTAAGGAAGGAGACCACACTGAAAGTAAATAAGAGGGCTAAACTTCCTCTTTCTGCAGAAGCAAATTGGTAACACGCTCTCAGGACCTTCGGACACCCTGGATATCACTCAAGCTGACAGAACGACAGGCCAAAGAGGACAGCTTGGCTGCAGGAGGCAACCGAGAAGCAGCACAGACATCGCAGGAAGACGGCACTTACCAAGATCCTGTGATCAAATTGTACGGTTGTGGGATTCTCAAAGATATTTCTCAGCACGGGGGAGAAGGCAAGGAGGTCATCCGGGATCCAGCGCTCCCCCATTTTGGGGAAGGAATTGTACACAAGGCCAGCATCCAGCCCTGCCACAAAGGCACCTGCAATTCCAGAGCAGAAAATGAGACTACCAGAGCAGGCACAGGTGGCACTCCAGGTTGCACAGCTCTGACTCAAGAGCTCAGCTTGATCCTGAATTTCTTTCAGAAACATACGCAGAGATCACACGGCAACAGGCAGGCTGGAAGGCGCATCTCCACCTGCTCAGGAAAGACCAGTAAGGGAGGTTCTCAACTGTCAGCTCCCTGACGGCAATAAAGTTTTCCCAGAAAACATGATTGGGTTGCTCACAGTCCCCGCCGGATCAGAAGAAAAACAAGGCAGAGAGGAACGAGCCCCAGATGGGGCAGCAGTAAGAAACACTCTTACCTGAAAGAGCAGTCAGAAAAATGAGAGCTGTAGTGCCATGAGCAAATTGTCTCAGGCGAAGGAGCTGATGGGTCTCAGGTAACTGTAGAATAGAAAAAAAAAAAGAAAGTAATCAAGGCAAAGCATTTCCAGTGCTGTTTGCAGCAGGTAAGAAATGCCTTCACTGCATATACAGGCCAAGGGGTTGGCCCGTGTTTTACAGGAGGAATCTAGAGATCACCACGCAGCACAGTCACACTTCAGTGGTTCTCCAAAACCGCCATTAATCAAGTCCAACCCTGTGCAGAAACTGAAGTGGCCACCAGACAGTTACTGGCACAAATCACAAATCATTTAGCCCAGCCAGGCACACCCCTGCCTCAGCTTGCACGAACTCTGAGGCTAATCACTTTTGAGCGGAACAGCATGAGTCAAAGGAAGCATCCCATAACCGAGAAGTTTCCAGAAAGGGTATTTTGTAACGCAGTGTTAGACCAGAGTCAGGAAGAGAGACTAGAACAGCAGCAGCATCACCCTTCACACCCTTTGCTCACCCTCCACAGTACAGCCCCAACCCTCTGAATTGACACGACCCCGTGCTGACGCACCACTCCGTTACCTTGTGTCGTGGAAGCAGCAAGGACAGCCCCGTCCACAGGCTGGCAGAGTACAGAACCAGCGCGGAGCCGAGATGTGCTGCGAGGCGGTACTGACTGACCCGAGGAATGTCGAAAGAGTCTGGCTTCTCTTCCAGCCCGCTCTTCACCATGTACCACCCCAGCAGTCCCTGGCAAAAAAAGAGAGGGGTCAGAGCCAGCTCCCCTACGCCGCTATACTGCCCTTCATCAGCAAGAGGGGGCAGTGAATAACCCTCCATGTCTGTCTCAGCACAGACAGGGCAGCCGCGATTAAGACCAGATAAACATTAGGGGCAAAGCAACTTGTTTCCTCCGCCTTCAATCAGCCGCCGGCGCTGACACCCCCCCCAAGCTTTCACAAACCCCACCGTCTCAGCTACACTCGATCAGAAGGTATTCGCAGGAGACGCCGCCGCTAATCCCTGCGGCTGCCGAGCTCGCTCACCTGGAAGCACACCAGCCCGCAGAGCGCGAGAACACAGCCCTTCATGGGGCGGCTGAGCCAGCCCTTTCGCCAGAAGTAGGCGGCAGGCAGAACGTAGGCCAAACCCACGACGCGGCCCCACATACGGTGCGAATACTCCATGTACCAAATGAACTTGAACTCTGTCAGCGTCATGTCGTGATTCAGGCTGTTAAAGGCAGTAAAACAAAGAACGGCGCAACGTGATGTGGCAGTCCTAGTTCCCATCATCCCTTGTCATGGGACCACCTTCCTCAGAGAAAGGAAGTGACAGCGAAGGAGCCACCACCAGACGCGCTCCGTGCGCCCTCCTGGTGATGCTGGAAACCATTTCCCTTCCTTGTGTTGCTCAGTCGCAGGAGGGATGCTCCCAGCCCACCCTCCTCCCGCTTTCGCACACTCACATTTTAAACTCCGGGAACTGCTGGTACTTCTGGAACTCGGCTTCCCACTCCTGCTGCGTTCTCGGGGGTTTCATCTCTTTCACCAGGTGCCAGTCAACCATAGAAAGGCCCGATTCCGTCAGCCTGGGAGCAGACAGAGACACCAGCGGGCACAATCCACACCCTGACAGTAAGTAGCTCTGCTGAGCCGCAACGAGAGCTCTCGGCTGCGCTAGGCAACCCTTGAACTCCCAGTCGGGAACAGGAGGGAGATCAGGGAGTCTGAGCGAGCAACAGACCTAACGTGGCCGGGAATGCGCGGGAGCGCGCCGCTCCCAGCTGGCATCCACGCGCTGCGGGCAGCGCCTCTCTGGTGCTCCCAGCCCTGCCCCACGACGTCCCCGCGCAAGCGGGGAGGGAGGACACGAGAGGGGCTCTCACAGGCGCACTCGGGGCGGGTCCCAGGCGCGGGCGGCAGCT